AACCTGTAGTGATTTATCCACAGATGCTCCTGTGCTTCTCAGTAACCAGCAGTCAGAAACTCACCAAAAGTCAGCAGCCTGTGAAATACATGGGACATGCCAGAAGAGAGCTGATGGGGGGAGTACTTCTGTGTATTTTTATCTTATTGATTGTTAAATAAAGTTCTGTTTGGCCAATGAAACAACAAGTTAGACAAGACTAGGAGAAAAATAGGATTCTGGGAAATGTAGTAGAGAAGTGGTGATCCAGGCCGGAAGTGACATAGCAAGGAGACTCATATTTAGCAAGAAGAAACAGGAAGTGTCCCCTTTTCCCCTTCGCATCCTCCAGTGGCAGGATGTGAGCCAGCAGCAAGAAGGGACGCCAATAAGATAAGTCTTATAAAATATATAGATTTATGATATAAGACTGAGCTAACAGATGAGAATCCTAGTCATTGGCCAAGCAGCTTTGAACCTAATACAAGTCTCTCTGTATATTAATTTGGGCCCTAACTCGGGCAGGCGGCTGGCGTAAAGTGCACACATGGTGGTGGGGCTCGGCAGCTTTTGGCAGAAAGATTTATTGTAACAGAGATCAGGTGTAATAATGAAACACAAAAGACTTAGACTTCTTTCTGAAAATCCAAGAAGACTGTTGTATCTGCTGCTCCCAACAACAGGACTGCATGTGATGAGACCCTCACCAACAAACTGAAATCTGGGCTTCAAAATTAATATCCCAAAGCTTAAGGGCTGTGCCCAAAATACACATTATAAGGAGCTCTGACAGGTACCTAGGTTTCTGTCACTAAAACCTTCATGAGTGACTACCTGTGTGTGGAGATTCACTTTCTAGAAGGAAATATCTTAACAGAAGTAGTAAAACATTCATGGGAGATGTGAAGGATGAGCAAAATGCAACAACATGTTTTGACTTAAATGTCTCTAGCAAATAAGAATATAAATGATTTATTTGTTTTTAATGGTTGTTATTGCTTTTATAATAAATATGCTTGAGCATTTTTTTGCTGTTTTGTTTGTTTGCTTGTTTGTTTTTTCAAGACAGGGATTTTCTGTAGCTTTAGAGCCTGTCCTGGAACTCATTTGTAGACCAGGCTGGCCTCAAAGTCACAGAAATCTATATGTGTCTGCCTCCTGAGTGCTAGGATTAAAGGTGTGCACCACCACCCTACTTGATCATTTTGTGTCCCTGTTACTCACTTCAAGGCTTTTATCTTTACATAGTTTCATAAATTAGTTTATTGATTTGTTGATTGCTTTGTGACAGTGTATCATGTGGCCTCCAACTCACTCTGTAGCTAAGGATGACCTAAATCTTCTGATTTCTTGTCTCCAGTTTCATAGCACTGTGGTACAGGCATCAACCCCTATGTCCATGTTTGCTATACTTGTCTATCCACATATATAATTAATTAAGTTAGATATGTATATCTCACCCTGCACAAAACCAACTTAAAACAAGTCAAAGAGCTTGGGGCAAGACCTAAGTACCGGATGTGCTAGAGGAAAAACAGTTCAAGACATAGGCACAAGGGGGGACTTATTTTTACATTTAATGTTTTATTTTATATGTATTATTATTTAAATAAAAACTTGAAACCATTAGGGATAGCTCAGTTGTTTATTAACTTTTAATTTTATTTGAACTAGATTCTCCCTGGAATTCCCCCTCCCACTCTGTCTCCAAACAGTCACCACTGGCTCCTGCTGTGTGTGTGTATCCACTATGAGTGACATGTTTAACCACCTCTAAGACTTGAACCATGCTTGGGCAGCCTGTTGTGCATTTCTCTTATGGTGCAGGTACACAGGTCTCTCAATAGATCAACATGTCAGTATGAATGGACACATGTGGCTATGTGAGCAGGTGTCCTTTCATCCCAGGTCATTACACCACGAGTGGTTCATCCATCAAGTCTGTAATCTATGGACTGACAGACAACTGAGCCCAATGACCCCTCCACAAACACACTGACACCATGAGTGTTGGTTCAACAATATGAGTGGATGACCTACTTGCAGAAATTGATCTGCAGATCACCATGTGTGCATGTCCTGGTCTGTAAAGAGTGGCCTGCTGATGCAGTGACATGGTACCCTTGTAAGTGCTCCATGGTCCTGGCTTGGTTCTGGTTCAGGCCCTGAAATGTGGAAGGTGGTTGTTGAAATTTAAGAATCTAACCACCAGGGGGCTGGAGAGGTGGCTCGACAGTTAAGGACACTAGCTGGTCTTCCAGATGTCCTGAGTTTAATTCCCAGCAACCACATGATGGCTCACAACCATCTGAAATGAGATCTGTTGCCCACTTATGACCTGCAGGATACATGCAGACAGAATGCTATATACATAATAAATAAATAAATAAATAAATAAATAATGAGAATCTGACCACCAGATGGATTGCACACAAGTGGCTTCAAATAACTCGAGCCATCATTATACTTTAACAGAGCTTGTTCTAACAGGATTACTTGGGCACTTTTATTATTTGTTTTTATTTTTAACTTCTACATCATAGTCATCATAAAAGCCCCCTAGTTCCCTTTATTCTTCCCCAGGCACATCCTACACACACACACACACACTCACATAACCTCATATTAGACATAGAGTTCAGCATTTTTGCAGGCTTAACTAATCCTTGTGCCTGGAACATCCTGTTCTTGCAGAACTTATGTCAGCTGGCAGCTACTTGCAGTTACAAAGTTAAAAGGTAATTAGACATGGGTACACTGCTTTAAGGACAGCAATGTTTGAGCCCCAACAGTTCTTTGTTGTCTGTAAGATATGCTTTTAAATATTTCCATAACCTACAAGAGGGTTCAATCTTTCTATAAAGGGCAGACATTGATAAAGTACTCTTTTTCCATCCCACCATACCATTCTTCTTCCACCAGTAAGCTCCTGGGTATGGTAAAGATAGATCTATCCCTCCCACATTTTGCATTGCAATTTTTCCTCTTGTGGCATACCAAAGCCTTCCATTTATTGTATGTTTGGTGTACAGGAGACTTATTCTCAGCAGTTGGCACTATGTGTACCCCTGAGACTTTTTCCTTTTTCTGAGTGTGCATCACCTTAATCATCTGCCAAGAACAGTTCCTGTATTGTTTCCTTGTATGTACCCTTGACTTCCTACCACTGCCGGTCTATGATTCATTTTCTCCACAAGGTGGTGCTATCTCCATTTTCCATAGAACAATTAATGAAAATATCATCGATTGATTTTAACTACCTCTTATAAGTCAGAAAAGTCCCCAGGGTTAGGTGTTGCAGTTAGTAATTCCAAATAAGGAATTTGAGAAGCATTAGCTCCCTGCTAAATCTTATGATAAAGAATGGAATTTCCAGGGAAAATTACAGCTGTGGCACGCATGACTGACAAAGTGAAACCACACTCGAAGTCACGGACTTTGCCTCGGAGACTCGTTAGACAGGCAAGAATTCATACATAGACTGGAGACTAGGCTGCACTACTTACAAAAGGAGTGGAAGACCTACTGTGCACAGACTTACCTGCCAGTCACTGTGTGTGCACCTCCTGGTCAGTAATGGATCTCTTAATGAGCTGACACATGAGTTGTTATTAGGTTAGTATGTTGGTATGTGAACGACTGTTGTGATCCTGAGTTCAGGGATTTGCTGATTCATGATTGGGTCCATCTGCTAACCCAGGAGTGGACTCGCAGCCCCACTAATCAGTAAGTGGCCTTGTTTTCGGGACCAGTCAAGCAGTTCCTTTGGGTCCTTGATGTTGACACCCTACAACCCCACCCCTAGCCCCCTGCACTCAGCTCTCCCCCATATGTCACAGGCAGTCGCTATGACACTGAGATATCTGGGGTGGGAACATCAAAGCAGAATGGGGGGATATCGAGGCTGTCAAGTTTCTTGAAACCCAGGCAGCCAGAGGGACATTGTGGAAGCTGTAGGGAAGCCAAGGCGATGGGAGGACCCTGAGTTAACCAGAGGCACCTAGGCTTTGGAGGTGGGACACTGTGGCAGATGGTGGGACAAAAATTCATCCAGGAGGCAGACACTGAGGCAACCTGGGGCACACCAAGGTAACCCTGACAGACTCCCAGACAGCCTTGGATCCACTGAGTTGTGAGGACAAGGGGCGGCTGGGGCACTGAGGCAGCCTGGGGGTAACTGTGCCAGCCAGTGAAGACATTGAGATTAATAATTAATATATCTCTGTGTGCTTATTTAGGGTTAAATGGCTGTGGGACCAGGCTGAAAAGAAACTCCAGCAACAATTAACGTTGTTAAAATGTGTTGACAAAACAGCAAATGTTGGGGTATATGATCTAGCCTAGAACTTATACTCAAGAGACTGACATAGGAGGATTATGTATTCTAATACATCCCTGACTAATTACTGACATGCAAGGCAGGATGGATAACAAACAACATCTCAAGGGATTTGTGAAAATATGAAAAACAAAACCAGGAAGAGCAACCCACCACCCTTTCACAGACACACTTACTTGAAAAGTATGATCACACACTGCCTGATGTTTAAATAAACAATTAACAACTAAGATGATGGGCATCTCACTCTATACATTTTGGAAGAATAAATGCCTATCACTAAGTAAAAACACAATAGAAGATTTACAAAAGCTACAGAAGAAATATAAACCACATAATAAACTTCATTAAATGGATTTGCCAAACATATAGCACACTTTAATATCTACCTCAAATGTTGCAAAATAGCAATGACAATGCAGTAATCTCCACCATCAGGTTTGAATTAACATTGTAAATAATTAACTTCCTTCATGATGAAAAAGACATGAAACATTTTTTATTGAAATTAAAGACAAGTATGATGTCTAAAGTCTTTACCAAATTGTTTACAAGAATAGGGTTTTCTCTTCTATGAGTTCTTCCCTATTACCTGATATCAAGATGACACAAAAAGGATTTAAAATGTGTACAGCGTTAGAGATATGGATAAGCAAAATTATGACAAGTTCATTGCCAGGACCTAGGTCAGGTTTCTGAGAACTTTCTTTAGTTCCTGTTACAGGAATACACAAGGGTCTAATCATCTTGAGAACAAGGATGAACATTCACAAACACACACACTGACATCACATAATTAAAATTAAATCAAATCTTTAACCAAACAGATTTTCACACATGAATATTTTCTGTTGTAAGCGTTTATTCCTGTAACCCAAGTGTTGAGGCATTTAAAGTCTTAACTGTTTTCCTTCATTATAAGTTGGATCATGTAACAGAAAGCAAGAACATAGGATTGAATTTAGAGAAATCATTCTTAATGAGGTTTGTTTATGTAATTAAAGAAAAGCGTGAAATCAAAAAAGGGTTACCTAATCAATGAATTCATAGGACTTTTGTCTATATGAATTTTCAGGTGCAAACAAAATAGAGATATCATAATGCTTGAACAGATTGTTGACACTTGTCAGATTTTTTTTCTCCAGAATTTTGTGTAACTAAATGTCTGTTGGCTGAAGATCTTTCCAAATCCTTTATAGTAAGATTTCTTCAGTATGAATTTCTTTTAGGTGCTCAAAGATTATTGTGATATGCAAAGTGCACAACTTTATTACACTGCTAACATTTATAGGGTTTCTCTGCAGTATGATTTTTTCATGATTTTAAAGACTGATGATACATACAAAGGCTTTACCACATTGATTACATTCACAGGGTCTCTCCCTCATATGTGTTCTGTAATGTATTTGGAATTTAGAGTATTGTATATATGCTTTACCATATTGATTACATACATAGGGTTTCTCTCTTGTATGTGTTCTTTGATGTACTCAGAAATTGCTGTGCTGTGAAAAGGCTTGACCACAATGATTAGAGTTGTAAGGTTTCTCTCCAGTATGTGTTCTTTTATGTACTTGAAGATGATAGTGATGTGTATAGACTTTACCACATTGATTACATTCATAAGGTTTCTCTCCAGTATATGTTCTTATATGTCTTTGTGACATGCAAAGGCTTTTCATATGATTTTACCTGAATTAGTAATTAAAGAATAACAGAGACTTGCCAGCAGGCTGCATGGACAGTCATCCCCAAGGTCCTCCATCCATGGTTGCAGACTGCAAGACACCAGCCTTCATGCTGATAGCATGGGACCTGTGCCAGCTTAAAGCAAAACAGAGTTCAGAAACAGGTATTTTAGGGTATTTTCCTATCTATGTGAAGATAGGAAAGTGTAAGGTGAATGAAGGTCTGGGAATGTAAGTTACGAAGGTCTGAAGATAAAAAGGTTTAAGTAATGATAAAGTGAGTTGAGAGATTAAAAAGAATAAAATATGTCCCAGATTTCTCTTTCTCATGCTACTGTTCATAGTCAGTAAAGTTCTACAATACCACTATACGATCATAACTATAAGGTCAAGATTAAGATGCCTTTCATTGTCCTAAAAAATATCTGTCAATTTTAAAATGTTAATGCTTTCAGCCAAGTTGCTTCTAACATTAATATGCTGCTTATGTGTCTAATACTTATGTTTCCACAAACTCTAAGGATTCTTGTAAGTTCCAGGGAGCTGAATTGGATCCAAACAAATAGGTCAGATTCACTCCAAATAAATATTATTCAATCTTTCCCTGGTACCAGGATTCCCTTCCCTCATGTTGGGACCCCTCAGGAACCCCTCCCTCATCTTACAATCATCCCCTCAAGTACCAGGACCTAAGGAAAAAAATTTAATTTAACCTTGTCTTCTATTCTGCCAACATCTTGCCAGGTCTAAGAGGCACCAGGGGGTTCCATACAGGCTGGACTTCGATGAAACAACTCACTATCCCAGGATATGGCAGCATCCCAGCTTTCTCAGGTCCCCCAAAGATGGTCAATGCCACCCCAGCTCAGCAGGAAGCAGCCTTTAGAATTTGATGCCCTTATTCCCTAACCTGCCACGTCTAACACTCCACCTTTTTTAATAATAAGTAAAGGTTGGAATGAAAGGTTCAGGCATTTATGCTGACCTTCTTGTACCTCTTTAAGAAACTGAATCTGCCCCCTAATGATGGGAGGACACTCACAGGGACATGCTATGCCATCACCACTCATCACACATTACAGACCTGCCTGAGGACACTGTGCATGCATGAAGCCTCAGTGCGCATGCTCGGCTTTCTTTTTAAAGCTTGTGCCTCTCTCTCTCTCTCTCTCTCTCTCTCTCTCTCTCTCTCTCTCTTCCTCTCTTCACTTCTTCTCTCTCTCTAGTGACCGACCATAGTGGTCAGCCATTAACTGTGTCTCTCTTATCTCTTACTCTCTGTCCTGCTCTGTTCTTCTATTTCTCTCTCGATAGCTCTCCCATGATATAATAAACTATCGTTAACATGTTCTCTATAGTCTCATGTCTCATCTTGTGCCCTTCTTTCTTTCTAATTTAAACAGAAATCTAACAACCACATTGATTGCATTCATAAGGTTTCTCTCCAGTATATGTTCTTCTATGTCTTTGAAGCTGACCAAGACTTGCAAAAGCTTTACCACATTGATTATATTCATAGGGTTTTTCTCCAATACATGTTCTTATATGGAGTAGGAGACAACTGTGACATGCAAATACTTCACCATATTGGATACTTTCATGTGATTTCTCTCCAGTATGAATTTTTTCATGCCTTTGCAGATGCCTGTAACATGCAAAGTCTTTAACACACTGAGTATATTCACAGGGTTTCTCTTCAGTATGGCTTCTTTCATTCCTGCAAAGATAATTGGCACATGTAAAAGCTTTACCACATGCATTATACTGATGAAACTTAATATCTATATACATTAATTTTATAATTTGGCCTAATTGTAAAAAAGAATCAGGCATTAAGTTTTACATCCATGATGTTTCCCTTCATTAGGGATTGTTTGTTGTCTTTGAAGATACCTGTGATAGATAGTAAGAGCCTTTATTTCATAACCCACATTTAAGTCATCTTTTTATATGAGATTTTTCACATATTTGAAAAGAACTGGAGGAACTTAGAGCTTTAGCATACTTATTGCATTCCTTAATTATTGCATTTTCCTATGGTGTGAGTCATACTACATTGGCAAAATGTACCAAAACAAATGGAAGTATCCATACATTCCAATACTCACAGGACTTTCCTGCAGTGTGAGTTTGTTGATGTCTTTCTGATGAAGTTGGAAAACCAATTGATTGTAAACTTATATCAATTCAACAAATCTACTCAAAGTGGGGACTACTAAATATCTTTCTATCTTCTCATTGTCCTGAGAGGGAGGTGGTACATTGCTTATTTCCATATTCTATGCTCACATGGCTTGCAATTAGAGTGACATAAGATTTTTTTCCTTGGTTTTTTTGAGACAAGGTTTTGTTACGATAAATCTTTTTGCCAAAATCTGCCAAGCCCCACTGCCACGTGTATGCTTTATGCCAGCCACCTGCCCGAGTTAGGGCCCAAATTAATACACAGAGAGACTTGTATTAGGTACAATGCTGCTTGGCCAATGACTAGGATTCTCATCTGTTAGCTCAGTCTTAACTATCATAAACCTATATATTTTATAAGACTTATCTTATTGGGCGCCTTATTGGCATCCCTCCTTGCCGGTAGATCACATTGTGCCGCTGGAGCAGGAGCAGAGGGGAAAAGGGGCACTTCCTGTTTCCTTTGCTTAAGTATCAGTCTCCTTTCTATGTCACTTCCTGCCTGGATCACCACCTCTCTACTACATTTCCCATAATCCTCTTTGACTCCTAGTCCTGACTAACTTGCTGCCATTGGCCAAACAGTATTTTATTCAACAATCAATAAGATAAACACACACAGAAGTACATTCCCCATCAAGGTTTCTTTATGTAGATTTAGAGCCTGTCCTGGCACTCACTCTATAGACCAGGGTGGCCTCCACTCACAGAGATCCACCTGCTTCTGCCTCCCAAGTACTAGGATTACAGGCATGTGCCAACAGTGCTCGGCTCAACATATGATATACTTATTAAAGGAAGAATAACAAATAGAAGGTTTCCACATTGCACTCACACAGTTTGACTTTCTTTTCCTCACAGACATATAATATAGGGTTTAAGGTTTCTCCACAACAACCTTCTTGACTCTCATAAACTGACCCTTTCAATGTACTTAGCAAAGTCACAAATATATGAGTAATGCCAGCTTTACTATAGACTCTTTTTTCTTAGAAGTTCTTGGACATATACTTGTCACCTATTCAATTTGTATACAGTTTAAAATATCTGAGTGGTGTGAAACTAACTGGATTGGCATTTCTACAGCATAACTCTCATGGGACTATAATTCAAATGGTGGTATTTGTTAAGGCATTAGTTCCTTGTCTTCTTTTTCACAGGAATGCCTTGCAAACACAGCATAGCTACCTGATATGAGATACATGGTTTTGTGAGAAATTAAGTCATCAATATGCTTTAAACTGTGCTTATTTATACTGTTGTTTTTCTTTAAAACTTCCAGGATACATTAAAATTTCTTCAGAGGCAAATCTGTATAAACTTGCACATGAAAATTGCCTTCTATGTTTTCTAGAACTTTGACAATGTTCTTCAATATTATGGTCTTCCCAACTTTAGCCTAAAATATAATACCAGAAAATATATGATATATTATTGGAAATTGTATAAAATTTAAGTTAATATCTTCAATGAACCTTAGAACTATGTCTTATTCACCTACTTTTTTATTTTCTCAATCAAAATTACAGAAGAGTATCAATAACCAAGAAACAATTGTCCCCTTATTTTAAAACATGAGGGAAATTTCAGTCTTACCTACAGCAGTGAGGTTCCTGTAGGTCTCCAGCATCACATCTTTGTAGAGACTCTTCTGGGAAGATTTCAGCAAAGCCCACTCTTCCTGAGTGAAGTTGATGTGCACATCAGCATAGGTCACTGCATTCTAAAATAACCCATACATGTTTAAAACAGAAAGTGTGATGCTGACATTGTAAATGTATATTTGGCAAGACATTCATATAATGCTGGTGCTTCCCACACTTATTTCATGAAATGGACATTATAATGTTTTCACCAAGTCACTTTAGAAGGTAACTGAATAGGAGGTTCACATGTATCATTTCTTGGCCCTTTAAATAGCAAATAGCCTTGAGAAAGAAATCCCAAAAAAACAGACATAAAGGGAGAGACAAGCAAGCAGATCAACACTACTGAGAACACATCAGAGAAATTGTATGATATGGCCAGCCTATCACAGAAATACCCCAGTCCCTGGTACCAACTTTTGCCTTAGTTAGGTTTTTATTGCTGTGAAGAGACACCATGAACCATGGCAACTCTTACAAAGAAAACATTTAATTGAGGTGTGTCACTTAAAATTTCAGAAGTTCAGTTAATTATCATCATGGCAGGGGGCATGGTAGCATGCAGGCAGATGTGGTACTGAAGGTAGAGTCCTTACATCTTGACTCAGAGGCAACAGAAAGTTGACTGGCACACTGGGCAGCATCCTGAGTATGAGAGACCTCAATGCCTGACCCCACAGTGACATACTTCCTCTAACAAGGAAAAGCCCACTCCAACAAAGCCACACCTCCTACTAGTGTCACTAGTGGGAGCTCACAGCCTATGGACTGACAGCAGGGGAACCCTCATGGGACCAAACTAGATCCTCTGAATATGGGTGACAATTATGTGACTTGATCTATTGGGGGGAGGGGTGCTGGCAGTGAAACCAGGACATATCCCAGGTACATGAACTAGCTTTTTTGAGCCCACTCCCTATGGTTGGATATCTTTCTCAGTCTTGATACAGGATGGAGTGGCATGGTCCTTCCTCAACTTTGTATGCCAGACTTTGTTGACTCCCAAAAGAAGGCTTTACCCACTCTGAGAAGTGTATGGGAGATGGGAAAGGGGAGAGGTAGTATGTGGGAGATGGGGAGGGATGGGAACTGGGGTTGGTATTAAAATGAAAACTAAATTTTTAAAATAAATTATAAAAGAAACAGTGTATAATTTGTATTATGCACCCAAAGTGACTTGTTTTGTTCTCATTGCAAGAATTTTGAAAACAAGTTTATCCCAATTTTTTGTATGTTTGTGTATGAGAGATGTTTTCCATGTGTGTACATGAGACATACCAGAGAAGAGGGTGTCAGATACCCCAAATCTGGAGTAGCAGGTAGTTATAAGCCTCCAAATTTGGGCGTTGGGATCTGAACTCAGGTCATCACCAAGAAGAATATGTGCTGAGCTACCTGCCAAGCCCCATAGTACTTTTTAGGGAAAACACTAAAAGTCTTTCATAGATTCAAAACAACAAAAATAAAAGAGCCTAAATAAATACAGAAGTAAATAATCATTGGTAACTTGATGCATCAATATTAAGATACTGTATAAGGTAAATTTGCAACATGAATTTAATACAACCCAAAGAAAATTCCCAACAACTTATAACAGTATATCTAATTGCAATGCTATATGCAAATTGGAAACAGAATTCTCAAGAGGATTATAAAAAAAATAGTACACACATTGACTCAATGTGACTTCTATACTTACAATAAATCTACAGCTATCAAGAAGGTGTACAATAGTTGGTAGAGAATAAAGCGGATAGAGAAAAGGCCAAGAACAAAAGCAGGAAAATATAATCAACTTTTAATCAAAAGACCAAAGGAAACTCAGCCAGGTAAACTGTGATCTTAACCAGTGTTACCCAGTTACCTATGATTCTGTGTTTAAAAATTATATAAAAAGACTTCATAACTCCCACAAAATTAACTCAAAAGGACCCTTAAACTATTCTGCTTCTGACCCTCGAGCTACTGATATTTCTTCCAGACAGAGAGGCCCCATTGTCTAGAGCATTCTCTACAAATGGGGGTTAACTCTTGCAATGGTTCTGCAAACTCTTATGTCCCATTGTGGTTTGAGGCTAACCAAGGCCCATTGAAGCCCACACACAAGACAACATAGAAGAATAATTTAACTTCTGTTTCCCGCCACATGTATCATGACACAACATGTGGAATCTGTCCTATCTACCCATCCAATACCATGCACACCTGAGAAACTTCTGCAGATCAGAAACTCCTTTTGTTCCCTGGAACTCAACTTTCCTGAATCATGACATTGTAACTAATGGTAGCAGAAAGTTAAAAGCACTCTAATCATGTATTGCTGAAGGATAAGCCCCATCACCTCTTTCTCCCAGTCTCTAAACTCTGTGCAGCACATGTAAGACAAACTTGAAAGTGGAATTCAATATTCATAAATTCCAGAAATCAAACTTTCAGTTTTCCAATGTATGTTCCTACCACACACCAAAAGCAACCCTATGATGCACACTGGACACTGATATTTTAAGTATCATAGCTTCCCACAGCCAGGGTTTCAATGCCTCCCTCTCCCCCTGGGAACCTACACTCAGAGAGGCTCAGAGGACACTGCTCAGGTCAGCATATGGCTCATGGTTCCTCCCACTCTCAGCAGCAATGACAGCTAGGCAGACCTGCTCCACCTGCTCTGTAACCCCCACATTGGCCCTGCTATGTCTGTGGTCTTCATTATAGTTCCTAAAAGACAGCCAGCAGAGAATCCTGGAGAGAATGTGCTAGCTACTTCCAACTGATCCTCCTGAGTGCTAAACCTTCCCAAAGTGCCTCATTAGCTAGGGACTCACAGTTGGAAAACAGAACATTAGAAGCTCCCCTCTTAGGTATGTAGAGACCAAATAACTCAGACAGCATATGTATTCCTAGCTCTGCCCTTCCATCCCAGCAGACAGGGCTCTAGTGTGGAAAGTGTTTTTTAGTAGACATTCTCACAGTCTCCCAGAGTACTTCCTGTTCTCTTCCAAGGCAGAAGGTCTTTTTTGTGCACATTCAATTACGCACTCAGTATCCAGGGTAGCCAACTCTTTGCTTAATTTTGGGAAGTCCTTCAACCATAATAGGTCAGATTCAAACATTCATAGGTCACACATAATTGTTACTGTGTAACTGATGTTAAAGACAAACAGGCCATGAACTAGAAACCAATGAGGGGTCATCGCAGGGCCTGGAGGCAGGGAAGAGACTATAGATACTACAGATATGAGGTATTTAAAATCTCCAGAATTCTGTTTTTGTTTTTTTTTTTTTTGTTTTGTTTTGTTTTTTTGATAGTTTTTTTTTATTTAAATTAGAAACAAGCTTCTTTTACATGTTAATCTCAGTTCCATCTCCTTCCCCTCCTCCCCTGCCCCCCACCCACTCCCTTATCCCAACCCCTTTCTGCTCCCCAGGGAGGGTGAGGCCAGGTTCTAGGAGCCCAGAGACTAACCCAAGGAGTCCACATTCTGATGCAAAAGCAAAAGGTTTCTTTTTTATTTCAAGCTGGCCAGCTAGGATCTCACTGCATGGCTGGCAAATGAGATGCCAACCAGCTAAAAAGAGAAGCTTTTAAAGGTGCAGACCATAAGATTGAAGGCCACAAATTACAGCATTTCCATGGTTACTTAAGGTCATACCAAGTACAGAGTTACCCAGTAACTATACATTTTAAGGGAGATACATTTGACTGAGGTAAGACAGGGCATGGGCTTGTAGTGCTACAGGGTCACAGGGTCTTTCAGTTATCCCTTGGGCTGGGTGATCTTTATGACCAGCAATTAGCAAAGGAATGTTAACAGGAGTGATGGACAGTTACCTCCCCTTCTCTGAGAGCAGGGGATCAAGCACCAGCCATGGCACTCCTGGTTATAAGGAGTTCAATTTTCCTTTTCCATTAGACATTCCCTTTTCAGGGCCTACATTTTAAAACTTTTATTAATTTTAATTTTTGGTCCCTCAGGGTTAGTCTCTGGGGCTCTGCAAACCTGGCACAACATAGAAAACCTAGAATAATGCAACTGTTTTTGTTGTTGTTTTCACCTGCTCTCTGAGGAAGATGTGGCTAACAATAATGCTCATAAACACGTTCTCCCATGTTCCATTATTCTCTAAGTATTCAACTTCCCATGGAAACTACTCTTTGGGGCTGGTGATGGCTCAGTTGTTACGAGCACTGGCCGCTCTTCCGAGAACCTGGGTTGAAGTCCCAGCATCCATATGGCAGCTCACAACTGTCTGTGACTCCAATTCCAAGGGATCTGACACCTTCATATAGACATACATTCAAGCAAAACACCAATACACATAAACTAGGAATCATTTATAAATGGAAAAAGAAAGATAACTCTTTATTATTATTCATTTAACAAGGCTCCTAAAGCAGTGGAACCATCACCCAGTCTTCTGATTGGAGAAAGACCTATTTTCTTGTTTGAGATCTGGTCCATGCTTTTCTTCCCTGGTTGTCTGAAGTCCCAATGACAATCAGGAGAAAAGTACCTTCAGTTCATCTGACCTCAGTGTGCAACTACAGAACAAACATCTCCTTTTGTGTCCTGAATTCTCTCTTTAGTTGTTAATATTCTGGGCACCCTTCCACCTATGGGACAGGGATTAATCACTCCACCTGCACTGTATAGTGGCTTGTGCAAGGTAGCTAGCCTCATTGTGTCCAAGCGGAAGAAGGGAGTACATGAAGACAGCAGGGTCTGCTATTGGAGCCTGGGGCAAGTGCTATTGAAATGCATATCTCTGCTGATCTAGAAAAGGTTTCTGTCTGAGATGGAAGGCCAGGTCAGCAATCATTGTGCTGTATCCTTAAGAACAGTGTAACCCTATTGGAGTTGCTCTTGTCAGTCAGGCCTCACTAGCCAATCAGGCCCTCCAGGTGACCTGTCAGTCAGAAGAGGTATAGGGCCCTTCCAGGCACCAGTTTCAGGCTTGTCTCTGAAGAGGAGTTGGTGCCTTATTTGTGTGCTATGCTGCGAATACTGCTACAGGAAGCTGAGTGGAGAGCTTAGGCAATCTGGGTAACCATGATATGGTAAGTGAGGGGCTGCTGTCC